AGTTTTATTAAATAAAGTTACGTATACGTGAAGCATGCCTGCAATAAAGTACGGCTTAAATGGCGTACGTAAAAATGATAAAATAAGGAAAATTGAAGCGAAGGGCATGAAAACTATCGGGTCGCGGCTAGTATATAATATTTCTCTTTTTCTTCGTCTCCTATTCTGTTTAATGGCGTTATAACAAAAGTATTAATTTCTTTACATATTAATTAAAATCTAGATTCGTGTGGTGAAATATAAAAAAGGAAACATTATTATTATTATTTTATATAACTCCAATTCCAAAATCTGAACTCTCAACTTACCTCGCTTCGCATGGCCAGGCGGTTAGGGCGCTTGACTCGCAATCTGAGAGTCGCGGGTTTGAATCCCTGTCATACCAAACATGCTCGTCCCTTTCAGCCGTGGGGGCGTTATAACGTGACGGTCAATCCCACTATTCGTTGGTAAAAGAGTATCCCAAAAGTTGTTAGTGCGTGGTGATGACTAGCTGCCTTCCCTCTAGTCTTTCACTGCTAAATTTGGGACGGCTATCGCAGATAGTCCTTGTGTAGCTTTGCGCGAAATTCAAAAAACAAACAAATTTTCCTCGCTATTAACCTGGAGGTTATTAGGAGCATTATGGTCTTCATGCGAAGTCACTCAGAATGCGCTCTTCATATTTCGATTTGAAAATTTACCGAAGTTTGCCTTGTTTATATTGTTACGTCTCCGTTCGTTAGTTGATTTTCCGTAACTTCGTTCCGACGAAACTTTAGCGACACATGTCCTTTCTTAATAAAACTGGTTTATTCTTTCCGAATATAACTTTACGATACACTTAATTTCAACAGTCGCTCTATAACAACACTATAATTCACGTCTCACGTGGCCAACAATATTTTATCCGCATACATTCAATTACTCATTACACTGTTGTCCCATCACGTTGTGACCATCTTATATATACCAGGCTACCTCCAATCTAGTAAATGCTAGGGCATTCACGAAGGAACAGGATATTTCTAGAAAACGTGGAGTGACACTAGTCACGTGACCTCGCTGACGCAACAATATCTTCAATATTATCAGTTGTAATAAACTCTCAAACTATCCGATTCAAACTGAAAAACAAACTATATTTTCATTTTTGTTCTAGGAAAAATATGCAGTTAAATCCGAAAACAGTAAATTTACATTGTTTTGTAGCTTTGTTTAATTAAGGAGAGTTCGTTTTGTAATATAATTCATAGGTTGATGGGGAATAGGCGTACGTTACGATACAATAGCTTATAAGTGTTGAATAGTTGTGTTTTTTTTAGGTAGAAGTGCGCATGATCAAAATGTTCGGCTGGTTGCCGTCTGACATTTAGTGAACTGTTATGTATATGCCAATAATTTAAAACTATTGCATCGTTTAAGTAGATCCTCTAAGCTATACTCTAAACATCAATGTAATTAATTTAATATGCTTTAATACATTGTGATGTTGTCAGTTATATTGTTTTTTGTAAACATTAAATTTATGCAAATTTGTTTTTATTTAGGAAGATCACTGCGAGAGAATGGTATTATATTTTATAGTTAAAACAAACATTATTTCATTTTTAACAATATAGGGCTGTATGAACGTGTACTTTGAAGAAAGTGTGCAGTGGGTTCATAATTAATAAAGTTTGTTTTGGTTTACTTATAGCCCTGTTTAAATTCCATACATTTAAAATTGACTGCATTATGGTTTTCATTTTCATTAATATTCAGAAGTTGAGGTAAGCTACAGGCCTGGCCTCTCGCTAGCTACGCTACGTACATCTTTCGTTTGTTTGTTGTTAAGAGCAGAGCTACACAATGGTTATCTGTGTTGTGCCCACACAGTTTTTAGCGTTATTATATTTCAGACTTACAGTTGAGCCTCTGGGGATCTTTTTTTGTGTGAAGATTGTGAAAAGCTACCAATACAATTATTTCCTTTTTTGACTACACATCGCGTGTTGTAGTGTTTTGGGCGCTTGACAAACAAATGAAATATGTAGTTCCGGATAAAAAGTATACAAGTGTTTTGTTTTTCTTTTTTTGTTGTTGTTTGTTTTTGGGGGGAGGGAAGGAAATAATGCATTTTATTCTACATCTCTCTTCAAAGTTCATGCCTGCTGACGTAACCCAGCGATGCTTTATCAGTAATACTGGTAGAAATTAAATATATTTACATTTTTGGTTTGGTTTGTTTGGAAGTTTCGCGCAAAGCTACACGAGGGCT